CAATTCTACCTTGAGCTTGCTCTGGTGTAAAATCCACCATTAATGCAAGTACCTCCACCCAAGATTCTAGCTCTCGAATTAAAAACTCCATCGGAGGAAATGAAAACTTGTGATGCTGAATTTGGTGAAGTGTCTGTTAATGAGACGAGGAAGTTTTGCATGAATGACACATTAACATTACCAAAAGGAGTTCCGCCTCTTTCCAATAATAAAACACTGAAATTTTGTGAAAGGGTGGCGGCCAATGGGCACCCGGCGGTGCCACCGCCTATTATTATATAGTCATAGGCCACTCCGCCACTACCCCGCGGCGATGAGAATGAATTTGCTTCTCTAATGAATGGGTACCCATATTTACTGTAATTCTCCTTGTCTGCAGTGCGTAAGTTACATGTTATCAGGAAACTTTTCGATAAATACATAATAATTATATAAATCACAACATTTCTTGTTCTGTGATTAAAACTGAAAAGTAGCTTTTTAGCTGCTTTCCTGACAGCATGTTTCTAGGGACCCGTTTGTTTCGCTCTCCTGGTCTTTTGCATTTTGTAGAAGGACAGCACGGGGCGTACATGTAGGGCTGTTAATGGATTGGATTTTGATTCGAATTCGATTTAAATTCGATGAAATTAATAGGAGATGGATTTAGGGTCTCAGTCCGATTAAGATCCGATTCTGATAATCCGTTAACTAAATAAAGCAAATATGGATATAGGTCGATCCGATCTGATTTATTATAATAATATAATATATTTGATATATTATATCATAATCTAGTAAACATAATTTTTTCTATTTTGAAATTTATATTATGCTTTACACATAATTTTTAAATAATAAATAATGTTAGATAATAATATAACATTGTTAATTGAAATATTTGAAGAGATTTAATTTTTTTATTAATTAAAATAAGATAAAAATAATTAGAGTAATTTGTTTTATAACATCAAAAATCAATAATTAATATGTCCAAAAATAATTTACATTGTTTAAATTGATATTATTTGTGATTATAATCTTGTTGAGGTTATGATTTTTAATGAAATTAATAAAATAAATTAGAAACACTTAGAATTGACAATTGACTAATATCCCACGTTGAAATATCACTAAAATATTGAAATATGAGTATCATTTAAAAAAATTAGTATCCTACATTGAAAGATTACTAAAACATTCCAAAATGAGTATCTTTTAAAAAGGAACTAAAGAAGTATCACTTAGATAAAAAAAAAAAAAAAAAAATTGATTTGGGTCTCTTAGTATAATAGGTAAATCCATCAAGATAATTAAAATATTTTTTAGGAAAAAAATCATATTACCAGAAAAAATGGTGGAAAAAATATTTTTTTTTTTCAAATTCGGATCTGATATCCGATAACATAGCAGATGGGATGTGGATTTAACAATCAAATATCCGTTGAATTATTGGATAGGATAATTTTTCTTAACGAATCGGATCGGATTTGGACAGATCCGCTCCATATCCGATGCATTTACAGTCCTACGTACAGACTCAGCACATTACAGGACCCTTATAGGGTTCTCACAAGGGGTGGGATCAGGATTTTTTTTTCCATTTTTTACTGCATCGAGGCCCACGTGGGACCGACCCCATGTGAAAAGCCTTGTACATAGGGTTTTATGCTTTGTAGAAAAACTCTTTTATTTAAACTAATTTCTTCTAAAAAAAATTTCTAATAACATAAACACTTGTAGAAAATTATTCAAATAAGTTTAAAAGCAACTTCTTATGACTCATTTAGCCTTTGTTTATCAACTATTCTACTACATTATTTTTTTTACAGTACCCACTTTCAACCACACATTCTTTATTAAAATAATATCACACATAAATAAAAAAAATTTCCTTCCTTTTCAACTATACATTTCAATATCAATCCCTTTTTCATAATACACTTTTTGAAATTAAAGGAACACAAACAGAACTTTAATAGGGCTTCTATTTTAACTTCTACTTTTGTAGATGGGCTTTCAAAGAAAGTCTCAAAGTCATTTTGAGTCAGCTTCTCCTATTATAAATTGAGGAAGGAAGCAGCTTTTTAGTCACAAAAATGATTTTTTAACTTTTCAAAATGTCAAATGGGTCGGAAGCAACTTTTGCTTTTTAGCCACAACCCCACATCTAGGCTTGTGACTAACTATTAAAACCGTAAGCAGTCAAAGCGTCCCTGAATGAAATAATAATAATAATAATAATAAATGAATTATGAAAAGTAACAGACCTGGACCGGAAGTAAATGTACGGATCCACAGAAGTATAGACACAAGAAGCTCCAAAGCTGCACCACCAACTGAAGCCATTGAAACACAGACAAAAACCTTAATTAAAACAAATATCCTGCCTTCCAATGTAATATGAATATACTGATACACACGTACATATATAGAGGAGAGAGAAACAATCATCCTCTATACATGCATTAGTGAATCAAATAAATATAATAAGAATAATTAGCTTAACTGTAGTCTTCAACTAGGGCCGGGAATGATGCCATATTTGAAGAATTTGGTGCTATGGGGAACTTAACTTTCTTGGTAGTGGAGAAAATTAATTGTTACAATTCTTGGTAGCAGAGAAAATTAATTGCTGCAAGTTATGAAATTAGTCGTCTTCAACTAAGAAAATAAAAAACTGATGCCGTAGTTGACGAGTTTGGTGCTACGGGAGTAAGCTTTCTTGGTTGTAGAGAAAATTAATTGCTATAGTTCTTGGTAGTGGAGAAAATTAATTGCCACGAGTTACGAAAATCAGCTTAACTGTAGTTTTCAACTAAGAAAAAAAAGGAAATTGCTATGTGTACTAAGGGGGGTTTAGCCTTTTTGATGGTGGAGCAAATTTAATTGCTACAAGTTATGAAAATAAACTAATTCTTGGCTAAGAAGAATCTTTGGGTAGATATTACAATGAAACTAAATAAATCACTTTCTAGAATAAATAAAATATTACATAATAAATCGAAAGTTGATAAAACCCATTGATCATGAAAAGTTCAAGTTCTAATCGACCTATTCTTCCTCAGTTACTTACCAACCAAAGTCTGTCCGAAGAGAGTAGAAAGACAAATCTAATATGTTGTAAAGACGTCATGCACAGACCTTTGTGCTAGAGATTAGCAACAACCATTTTATTCATATTTCATTGTATTCCGTTCATAATTCCTAAAACCATTTGAAAATAAAATTGAACGTACGACCATAATGGAAGTGCTGGTGCAACATTTTCGTTTCACCACCACATGGGACCAAAAGGAAAGGATGGGGACATAAAAAAAAGGAAATTGCTATGTGTACTAAGGGGGGTTTAGCCTTTTTGATGGTGGAGCAAATTTAATTGCTACAAGTTATGAAAATAAACTAATTCTTGGCTAAGAAGAATCCTTGGGTAGATATTACAATGAAACTAAATAAATCACTTTCTTGAATAAATAAAATATTACATAATAAATCGAAAGTTGATAAAACCCATTGATCATGAAAAGTTCAAGTTCTAATCGACCTATTCTTCCTCAGTTACTTACCAACCAAAGTCTGTCCGAAGAGAGTAGAAAGACAAATCTAATATGTTGTAAAGACGTCATGCACAGACCTTTGTGCTAGAGATTAGCAACAACCATTTTATTCATATTTCATTGTATTCCGTTCATAATTCCTAAAACCATTTGAAAATAAAATTGAACGTACGACCATAATGGAAGTGCTGGTGCAACATTTTCGTTTCACCACCACATGGGACCAAAAGGAAAGGATGGGGACATAAATCATAATCCAATTTGGAAGCTACGTTCCTTAAAAAACGTCATATTTAAAGACAATATGTCAAAATATGTTTATATTATTAGCCTTTGAGAATTATCATTATCACACAAGTATCCAAAGAGAAGTAATTAATATCACTTTTATTTTTTGTTTGGATTTGATATTAATTTATTCCCTTGATCTCAAATCTCTTTCTTTTTAGTCACATTTTAATTAAGAATGCATTTTATTGAAGAATACATTTTTATTGAGAATGTTCTCTTTTATTTGTTTACTAATATATCTTTATTTAAATTGCCTATCTATAACCAATTTTCCCACTTAATTTTGAAATTGTATAAATATAAACAAGGATAAATTAGAAAAGTTTTTGGCAAAAATTATTTTTTTAATAACATTAATACGATTTTCTTAATCTGTGTGAGAAACAAAACCAACTCATATAAATGGGAGAAATGGGGCATAAGAAAAGTTTTCAATATTTGCTCATTTTTGCTTTTGTCTTCAATTTTTTTCCATCACATTATCATTCTTAACCTTTAATTATTTAACATGTTTTTTCCCTAATTACAATTCTCATCCAAATATTCTATTAACATATATTGTAAAGATGGGCAAATATTTTGTTTAACTTTTATATTAATTATTTATTTTGATTATTTAAAACTACGAGAGATGTCCTTTTGGCCTTCATAACAAATATTTTGGATAAAAATAATCTCTATAGACAATGTGTGAAAGTTAGTTGAGAGATATTCATTGTAATTAAAATGTGGTGTAGTTAATAAAAAATTGTGGTTTAAATATATTAACCCTAGATTATTAGGTGATCGAGTTACATATTGCGTCCATAAAAAATATTGATATGAAATGATAAACATTAAATTGGACTCTCAGATAAATAGTTCAATATGATATCGAACTAATAAAAATCTTGAGTTCAATCATGTTAGTCCTTATGAAAATTTTTATGTTAAACCTATGACAAGAGACATATGATTGTTGGGTTATTATGATTGTTGTTCCAATTGTAAACATGGGTTGTGAACGTCATGAAGAAATGAAATATAAGGAAGAAAACAAGAAAATATTATAGTTCTTCACAATAAATTTAGAGTCGACTACATAATCCAAGACTCCTATAAAAAAGAGTGATTCTTTTCACCAGTAAAAGTAAAATCTCAATTCGCATAAGTTATCTCAAAATATTTTAACACAAAAAATAAAATTGCAATATATAGTAACAAACCGTACCAAGTTCTAGTGAAGTGAGGCCTGTATAAAGTCATCCATTGCATACTTATGAAGAACGGTAAGAAAAATACAAAATAATTCATAAATTCTTATAGTCCACGAGATACAGATCATTGTTTCAGTTCTGGAGATACAGAATTGGAAGGCAAAACTGAAAATCAAACATAATCAATGCCAAGTCAAGGTTTTTTTCCATCACCAACAAGAAACACGAAGGAAAAAATCTACAAAAAATTCAACTCATTGGGACATTTTCTCATGACAAAGAACAGCACATTTATATGATCCCTGCGAAAATATTAACGGCACGTTTGATACGTCAAAGTGGAGAGCAGTGGATACGATTAAGGAAGCTTATTTGTTATTCTGTGCACTGATCCATACCAAACATGCCCTAAAATGTCTTCAAGATTTGTTCCCCCTTTTTGTTGCTAGCAGTCAGATCCATGAATCACAGTTGTGCAGCTTAATACTTAAAAATAACAACAAAAGTGGTATCACGGAGAAAATTGTACTCTCAACAAAAGCTTACTGAAATTTCTGATGAGCTGAGGGACTCGAGTATTCAGTTCCATTTTTGGAAGTTACCTCACACAAAGCACTTGAGTCACCAGTGCTGTTTTGGAATTTCTTTCCTGCAGCTGGAGGGTTATGCTGAGAGTCGGGATTTGCACGCCCTTGGCCTGCCTCGGCCAGTTTTCTAAGAAGGTTTGTGATCGTGGGAAGAAATTTGGTTGATAAGGAAAGAAGTCCAGGAAGCTGTAAGCAAAAAAGATATCACAAGTCTAGAAAATAAGTTGATTTCAAAAGCTTCTGATACTAAGAGCATTTTTGGCTAAGCTTAGAAGAAATAAAAGTTAGTTTTATGTAACTTTAGTTTTGAAGCGTGTTTGTAGACGCTAGAAAAAAAGTATACTTATTTTGAAGATAATTCTTACCCTAGTGTCAAAATAAATATACTTATTTGCAATTTTGATCTTTAAAAAATGTTATTTGTATTAAAACTATGAAGTAAAAATTTTAGCCCCTGTTTGACAACCATTATTTGGGTAAAATAGAGTTTTGGATAGTAATTTTTTGAAAAATGTGTGGTTAAAAAGTAGAAAAAAGATTTGAATTTATATGCAGAATATTTTATTATGTGAATGTATGATTGAAAATGTATATGTAGAAAAAAGAGTTTTGAAGGAATGGTTGTCAAACAAGGGCTTAAACTAGCCAAACTTACTCGGTGATATTTCAATTTACCAAAGAAAATAGAGTTTTGAAGGAATGGTTGTCAAACGGAGAAAGTTGATTCGAGTAGATCACTTACAGCTCCATTGCAGAATTCACCCGAGATGTCTAGTTGTACCCAAAGAGCCTTTATGAGCAGAAAACCAACAAAAAACAACACCCAAATACAATGGATTTCTGTAAAAAAAAAAAAAGAAACGGAAATTCGTTAGGACACTTCAAAATTAGTTGGTGAGAAAGATCGAAAGCTAGTGACTGTATTGCCAGGTAGTCGCTGCTTTCCTCCTCACCCCCAAAACAAAGAAAAAAGGGGTACCTCAAGAGAGTCATAAACTCGTTAAAACCCAAGATTAACAAAGCAACAATCACCCATGGAGGTGGTAACCAAGAGCTATTTCGCTTGCTAGCTTCCTGAAAGTCGGTCAATAATCATCACCAATTAGCAAAATGTATAGCTATCATACTCTTATAAGAAGAGTAACACAAATATGCTAGAAGCGATGCCAGCATAAACGCGTATAATGTTAAAAGAAGATTTTCAGAAACATTATAAGAGCAAGTTCGTGCCTGAGCTGCAATGGCTTGAGTAACAATGTACTCAGTCTCAGCTTTAAATTGCCTCCACAAAGATTTGGACTGGACTGGTGTTAACCAAAGTTTTGGATGGTGGAATCTGGGTCAGGACCACAAACAAAAAACTTAGTTCATTGTGGACATCTACACACACACACTCACACACACATACATATATATAGTTTTAAGCACTAGATCGGGGCACAAGTAGCTTTAAAGCCAAAGTAAAACTATCTTCAAATCCAAAAGGAGAAAAAAAATTTTAACACAATGGAACAGATAAAAAATAGCTTATTTACTCTCAACAATAAGTATATATGTTTTAGTATAAAGGGGTTTCACAAAGATTTGTCATCGAGGTCAGTTGTTTGATATGCTAAAGCGGAGATATAACTGTACCAACTTCAAAGAAACAAACGCTGGAATCACAATAATTACCCCAGCCCAGCTGCTTGAGGCCAGAGGGTCCACTGAAGTGCCCTGATTGGTAGATTTGGGATCCATGAGGGCAAGGGACAATGTGCTTTCAATAGTATCCACATCGTCATCCAAACGGCATGCAGCC